ATAGGGACAAATAAATAGAGTAATTTGTAATTGGTCAGATGTGGAGAGTTAAAGTTGACCTACAGTACATYTGCTCCTTTAAATAAGCTTTCAACATTTCAGTAACGAATCTTTCATTACTGATTCAGCCCATTGGTTCTGCCTGCTGTACTACCTACTCCTTGACAACACCAGCTTTTAAGGCTGTACCTCTGAGGCTGAACATTAGCAACACATCTCGCTGGAGACCAACAAATACTATAGCTGGGATCCCCACAGCAATCCTCTTACTATGAGCAGCCCCAGTGGTGTGATTGGCACATGGTGTGATTCCTGGGTGTCCTGCACAGGCCAGCAGTTGGAATTGATGATCCTGATGGGTCCCTTCTAACTCAGCATATTCTGTGATTCTCAGTCATTTCCAAAACTGTGACCCCTTGATCCAGAAGATCAGAAGGTATCAGAAAATATCCAAAAGACACAACATGGTAATCAAATCAAGCATTCTACCTAATTTTTTCTCACAGCCATAAACAGAGTCCCTGCCTAAATATTTGGTAGCCTTGCAACCCTTACTATCAGACAGCAGGTATCCTTTACTCACACAAAAGCGGATATGCACTTAAGAACAGGTCTTCTTAATATATTTTCATTGTTTCTATTTGGTTTAGATTGGAAACCGAAAGTTCTTAAGGATCAGAGTTATTTTATTGTCTTTGGATATTTCTGATAATGCATATAAATACTGTATCTCTTGCTCTAAATCCCACAAGCACTTTTTCCTCAAATGGATTCTTGGAGGAAGTTCCACAGTCAGGTTACCTGAAGAAGAGTTCTGTCCTCCCAGCTTCTGCATATGCATCAGTGGGAGTCTTCTGTGAGAAAGAAAGGGCTTATCCTCAACTATCTGTATTACTGTTATTACCTCTTTGTTGTAATTTCCTTCCTAAACAGCCATTTTTCCACTTTCATTTTTATTTTGAAAACTCCCTGTACCTTAACCATTCATCCGATCCAAAAGACCTCTGAAATCTTTTAAATCARTAGAAAAAGGGTAACACAATATTTGAAAGGTTAATTTTTTAAAAGGTACGTAGCCATAGCACTAAAAGATCTTCAGTATTACCTATTCTCTGCTGCTGTGAGCAGGAAAACTTGGAAGGTTATAAACAAACAAAAGAACAACACAGAAAATCTTTTAATATTTGCATCTTTAATGCTTTGATGTTATTAAAAAGTGCCCAGGGCTACAGTGCAGATAGGAAAAGGGTACTACCTGAAGTTAGCTAAAAAAGCTAAATTCTATTTTAAGCTGGTACTGTCTAACAAGGAATTTCGTATTTGTTGGCTAGATGTTTCAGTGCAACCAGAAGGAGGAGGTGGTTGTATAGGAAGAAGATTCATCTGTAATGTTTAGTTTAACAAACTTCTGGGCATCTAAAAACAGCRCAAACATATTTCTATGACTGAACAAAGTGCACACCACTGCATTTCAGAGAAGTAGTTAAGATTAAACTCCTACTTTCCTTATGCTGAAGCTGTACCAAGGCACAGTCTGTTTGTTCCCAGGTGCTGCAGGGAGCACACTTCAAGATATAAGCTCAGCTCACAGGGTCACATCTATCTCTCCTAACATGATGCAGGGTATGCAAGTCTAACCTCTGGACACATTCTCAGGCTCTGACAGCTTCCTARGAGCAGAGTCATTAGAGTTTAACTAATATCCCTTACCTGAGCAGTTTCTCACTTGGAAAGCACTCCAAACCAAAACATGAATTTTGTAATAGTAGTAATGTTTCTCAGAAAATTATGAAGTAGCATGTGTTACTCTCGTATATATCACAATGACAAGGAAACAGCTGATCTAGCTAATGAACCAGATACTCTGTTTAGATTTCATCTTTGACAGTGTTTACTTAGTATGATTGTGTTTGTTCTCAACAAAGACCGAATTATTTCCTGAGATGGCTGTCATGGATTTTTCCTCCTCAGGTCAAGACCAGGTAATCAAGACAGAATGCTGCTTTATCAGGGGCTGGACTGTAACAACTCTTGCAATTCCTTTACTGGTACACATACCAGCTAGAAAAGATTTCTGAATTAGACCTCACATGTGACTGGAAATGGATACAAGGATTCAGCTCAAAAGACTCCGAGCAAAARCCTTTAGGCTTATGAGAAAGGACAGTATGATTCATTACAGCCCCTGAACAAGTTCATACAGCATACTCACACCAGGGCTGCAATACTTCAGCTGTCACCCCAAAATAAGCACCTGAAGATGGTCACTGCCCTACACATCAATACAACCCCAATTTTTCTTTTTTCCCGACATTGTCACTTTGCACAACTGCTTACAGTCCTTTCCTGAGCAGGAAAAATAATTTGACTGGTTTTGATGCAAAATGTCTACTGTCTGACATTTTCTTCCGAGTATGCAAATAAACTCCTAAAGATTTTTCCACACACAGTAAAGCCCATGTTGTATTTAGAGGAACAGATTACAGAAACTTCACCACTTAAAACTTCTTATCTTCAAAAGAACCGCTATGGCCTATTATCTCAGCAGTAACTGCCAAGATACAGCAAACTGTAAAAGCTTCAGAAGACAGAGCATCAGCTGAAGTAGTTCTAAGTCATTTCCAGTTTTGGAAACGAGAGTTCTGTCAATTCACTTGCCTTAGACAATTATCCAAAGCAGCCTTCTAGAGAGGACCAAGATCATTAGAGAACACATCATAAAAGATCGTTTTTTAAGATAATCGCTGGAAAATTTTATGACTTTACCAAGATTAAAATAATCTTGGCTAATCTTACTTCAAGCAGATCTTCTTAATTCCAGTTATGTGCCTGAGCTCTAAAACATCTGGTGAAAACGGAAGAATTACTCTGACTCCTAAGACCCTGGTGTCAAAGGGTCAGATTATTTTCACCTGACTAATACAAGGCAAGACTCATTCTGCAGATTTGTTCGTCTGACCTCCTGAAGCATTCCTGGAAGTTAGCTGAAGCACTGCCCATGTSGCATCTCACCTGTGCTCTCACCATTTCGGCGTGGAAGACCTGCACCACCAGCTGGATAAATCCAGCGCCTTTTGGCTTTCCATGCCCTGTTCTTCAATTACCTGATCTGCTGCTTGTCTTGGCCAAACCTGCCCTCTGGTTAGTAAAGCGCCRGGAAGCCGATCCGCGGCAGCTAGGTGAGCTGGCGAGGGGACACCTTTACCCTTCGTTGAAGCCCTGGGGACACCTTTGCCGGGCACTTACACAGAGGACACCGGCGCGGTTATTCAGGGATGGAAAAGCCCCAAAGGGAGGACTATYCCACGCGTTTCGGGTGCGCGGGGCACCGCGGGCGGGGAGGTCCCGGGGAGGGAAGGTCCCCGGCGGGACGCTGCGCGCTCCACCGCCGGACTCCGGCGGCGCGCTCCCGGCGGGCGGGGGGGCTGCGGCGGCCCCGCGCCGGGTGGAGCGGCGCGGACCGGACACCGACCGGGCTCGGCCGCCCGGGCCCCTTCGGAACACGGTGCCCCCGAGCCCCGCCGCGGGCAGCCCCAGGACGCGGCGCCGCCCGGGAAGGGACGCCGGCTCCRGGGGCCGGATGGGGCCGGCCTCGCCGCTCCGCGCTCCCCTCTCGGGCCTGCAAGGCTCCGCAGGCCGCAGCCCCGGCAGCCGCCCCCCGCCCGCCCGCAGCCGTCGCCGGTCACATCCCGGGCGGCGGCCCCGCCACCCGCTCCGTCGCGCCCGCCCCGGCGCGGCCGCGCACTCACCCGCGTCCGTCCCGGGAGATCCGGCTCCTCGGCGCGGGGCGACAGCGAGGACCAGAGCAGCAGCAGCCCCAAGAAGCTGCCCGCCAGCAACACGGCGCGCAGCAGGAAGCCCAGCTTCAGCCGCATCCTCCCGCCCGCCCTCTGCCTCCCGCCGCCGCGCAAGCAGCGCCGAGCCCCGCGCACCGGCCGCCTTCCGCCCCCCGCGGCACGGCACGGCACGGCACGGC